AGGACTTGTATAAGGACGCCGTGCTGCATGGCTGTGCTGTCAGCCCTGACAGGGCCACCCCGACCCTTGGAGAGGAGGAGCGGGTGCCTCTCACCTTGAAGGACTGCACGAAGGTCCAGAGCAAAATCCGGATGGTGTAGCCCTGTCGCAGAAGCTTGATGAGGCGGGCAGCGCGGAAGAGCTTCAGGAAGCTCATATTGAAGCCACTGGTGTTCACCAGCTGGCGGACCGAAAGGAAACAGAATTAGTGGCATTAGAGTCATTTAGAAAATAGGAGCACTAGTTAGTCTTTGCATATTTACCCCTCATTTAGTTAATAAAATCGGACATGGATTCTGTCTTTCGTGCTTAACCCATCTCTGGCTGATGGGCCAGTGAGGACCATCTCTCCCAGCCTCCCCAGGCCTGCCGTCTATTCCCAGGGAGAAGGGTGGGGAAGTACCCTGGAGGGTGCCCTGTGTTAGACAGAAACAACCTGCTCGTCTTCTGTAAGTGGTCCTAACCCTGCACTTAGATGCCCAACGAACTGATCTACTCCAACATTCTAAGAGAGCTCCTATGAGCTCTCCAAGTCTTCTTTAGATGAACAGTTTAGGGAAACGATTCAGGTCTAACAACTTTGGGGGCAAAAATCCTAGACACTAGGTCTCTTCTGGCACTCTCTCTATCCATTCCACTCACTCCAGGAGATGTCTGCTATGTGAGTCACGCGAATGAAACAAGGCTTCCGGGAGATCCGGGGCCCTCCGATGTTGGCATTTTCTGGCTAGAGTTCAGGAGTGAGGAAGTGAACTCCCCACACTCAGAGGGCTACAGGTTTGGTTTGATGCGTTTAAAACAGACTGAACGTGCGGAGGGCTTTTTTAGATGCTACTGCAGGGTCAAGCTTAAAGACCAGCTCTACAAGCCATGCACCTTGCTGTCCGTCAGAATGATTTCTGTGATGCTGCCGATCACGGTGATGAAGTCGAAGATATTCCAGGTGTCTCGGAAATAGTTCTGCCAAGAGAATTCAGTGATGGGGGCATCAGAAAAAGGAGGAACAGAAAACCAGGAAGAAAAGAAAAACTGGGGAAAAGATAACTTTCATTACATAACTTTGTCACTTGGAATGGAAACTTGTTAATTTATGTACAAGTTCATTCTATCATTGGCTTCAGTTTCCTATTTCTCACCAGAAATGCTATGTCTCCTTTACTAATTTTGGAATTTCTCATTTGGGAAGCAGTTTCATCACTATTTGAAGACCTTGTTATTGAAGGTGTCACTAAAAAGCTTATATGTAAGGAAGAGATTTGTGGCCAAGAATATCATCATAAATCCAAAAAAAGAAAGATCATTGTCACCTACAAGACAATCAAATTATTTACAATATTATTTCAAGGATTTCTACAACTATAACTCTATCCATCTTGTATCACGTGACCCTATAAATATACAGTTCTGACTTTCAATTATTAATAAAAGCCACAGAGATGTCCTAAGTGACTAAAGATGAAAGATGTGTCAAAATCCCCTCTAACTCCATTGAGCCTTTCAAACCAACGGCTGATTTGCAATAGGATGATCAGACTTGATTTCCCCTCTCTTCCTCTGCCCTGTTACTCCTTTCGAGAAGGTGTAATGAAATAAAGTACAAGGAAGCAGTAATAAAGCGAGTGAGTTGAAGGAGATGGAAGAGAAACAAAGGACCCAGAAAATCCACCTATCAGATAACACTCTGCTAAAAGTGGATTATGCGGCCATTTCCAGGGCTCAGGTGAGCAAAGACCTTGGACTGTGTTCCTTAAAAGACACAGGACACACAGGTCTCCCACTGACACCTGCTTGCCCACTGCTTGCCCATAGCTCTCTCATGGCACTAGAGAAGTGCACCCCCTCCCATCCTTATGGCTGGCATCAGTGAGTCCTTGCTGTGTGCGCCAGATACTGGGCCAGGCCCTTGGCATTCATTCGATTCATCTATTCCTCCTATGGAGTCTACAGGTAGATAGTGATACCTATGTTCATTCAACACTGAGTGGTAGGGTTGGTAAGAAGAGTGGGGAGAGACAAAGATAGGGAAGGAGTGTGGGGAGATGAGCTACGTATAATGAACACCTACTCAGGATTGGAAGCCTTAGATGCCTTGGGCATACTGCCTAATTGGATACACACAACAAATATCTGAGGCTGCAAGGTAGCTATTGTTATCCTCATTTTATGAATGAGCAAAGCGAGGCTTGTCCGATTCCAAAGCCCTATGTACCTGCCAGGCATATAGAGAAACTGGAGCACACAGCCTCACAATCACACTTTCCATGGTGAATACCTACTCCTTCATGACTGGAGTCAAGGTGAGTCTCCAAGTTCCTCCTATCCTCAACCTGGGGCAGCTGCCTAGTACTTGGATCTCCCCCCATAGAGCAGAGAGAATACAAAGTCAGGTCTCAGAGGACAGAAGACCTGGATTCCAGGTGAGGATACTTTCCGACAGTATGGTAGAGCACCCACAGTGTAGTCAGAATAGTACGTTATGGTGGACAGAGTGTGGGCTTCCAAGTCAGCCAGACCAGGGTCTGAATGCTGGCTCTGCCTTGTAGGAACCCTGGACAAAGCATTCAATCTGCCTGAGCCCTGGCCCATCCGTAAGGAAGACCACTGCCCATTGACTAGAGCTGCTATGAAGCTGAAATGAATAATATGTAAAGTATTTGGTACTTAATAGACAACCAGTATATGTTCATTCACTCCCTCTTTTTCTTCCTTTTTTTATCCCCATTACACTTTCCAATTCTACTGCCTTTTATTGTGTAATCCTCAAAAATACACAATTTTTCTGACCTTCCGTTTCCTTATTTAAATGAACAACAATAATGCTAATGATGCTATCTGCCGTGGCTATTTCAGTCACTGAGAAGACCTGACGCGGTGCATGTTAGGGCAGTGATTCCCAAAGTGGGCGCTACCGCCCCCTGGTGGGCGCTGCAGTGATCCAGGGGGGCGGTGATGGCCACAGGTGCATTTGTTTTAACTTTTTTTGTATTACCTTTCTATTCTGAGTTCAATAAATAGTTTCATAATTTCAAACTTCAATGTTTCTAATTTACACCTTTCTTTACTATATTTTACGAAAAAGGTAGAAACATTAATACATATATCTTTCTGTTTAATTGCTATTAAAATTTAAAAAAAATTAATTTCCAGGGGGCGCTGAGTAATATTTTTTCTGGAAAGGGGGCGGTAGGCCAAATAAGTTTGGGAACCACTGTGTTAGGGTATTGAACACCTAGAGCTATGGTCGGCAAACTGCGGCTCGCGAGCCACATGCGGCTCTTTGGTCCCTTGAGTGTGGCTCTTCCTAAGCCTTAGCAGTACCCTAATTAAGTTAATAACAATGTACCTACCTATATAGTTTAAGTTTAAAAAATTTGGCTCTCAAAAGAAATTTCAATCGTACTGTTGATATTTGGCTCTGTTGACTAATGAGTTTGCTGACCACTGACCTAGAGCACTCTATCAAGGTAAAGATGTACCTGGAACTAGTGGTGCTTTTCATAGTGTGGAGAGGCCTTGAAAGCTTGAATGACAAAGTCTGTATCCAGCATTTACCGTAATTAGACACGTAATTGGGGACTTAAGTCACAGGTGGCATCAACGCCACATGCAAGTAATCAAGATGCACAGGGAGACCTCCCTCGTTGCGGTACCACTTCTCTATCACCCCGCTCACCCCGCACTCAGGGCTAGACTGTATTACCCAGGCATCTTTGTTGGTGGTGGTTTCTTTTCACTCTTTTATTTCTCCAAGTCTCAAGTCTCAAAACACTCAAAAGAAAGTGAGGCAAACAACAATGCGGCCACCTGCAATGGGTTTCCTTCCACTCTCCTCCCCAAGCCATCAAATTAATGACTTTTCAAAGGGCCATTAACAGAGCAAAGGCAACCCCACAATCAGCACTCGCAAGGAAAGTTTCCCTTCTTGCAGAGAAACCCGGACACACGTATCGTTTGGAATGGAAGCTCACATGAAATCAGGGGGAAACAGCTGTCGAGTGGGTTTCCCTGCAGCCCACTGGTCTCCCTGTAGACGCTGAAGCAAGGGGGTGGGGGCCGAGAGGACTCTCTTGTCTACAGGACATTGAGGCAATGGGCTAGGTTCGCTTAACGCTCTGGAGAGCAGATGCAACGTGCTGATTATAATGAGTAGTTGAAAAGTCAGAGGAGGACTCATGCCAGAAAAACTCATCCCAACCCTTCCCAAACCCAGTTCCAGAATACACACACCTCTCGCTCCCGCCCACACACATACACACTTCAAAGGTCATTAGCTTTTATAAGCTTAATAAACATTTTTGTTGGCAGAAATTACTCTTCGTGTGACTAAGGGGAGGAGGCACATTAGGTAAAACCTATTATCAACTATGTTTGAGGCTAAGAGGGACAGCTATTTTCCCATTTGAGTTATAAAATTTTATGCCTTTTACAGTAAATGAGCACTCCAGGTTTATTAGTTCAGTCCTTGCTTTGCTCCCTAGCAACAGATAAATCGCAGTGCTAGTGAGACCCACTGACTGTCACCCCTCGACCACTGACGGAATCGGACAGGACAGAGCTGACGGCTGGATGAGTGTGGCGCTCTCCTATCCTTTGCCCTTTCTCCCAACCCACCATCGCCTTGTCTCCACGGCAGTTTACTGAGCAGTTAGTCGAAAGGAGCCCACCATCAGGTGGGTAGGTACACGAACTGTGTCTGAGTAGTGGTACCCACCCTCCTTCCCACAAAGGCTGGGGAGCCAAATGGGATGAGGATACATTCCATCACGTACCAAGAAGCCAAACGCGATGATCTTCAGGACACATTCCAAGGAAAACACCATGGTGAAGGCGATATTCAGGTACTTCAGGGCCAGCTCATAAGTACAGGGCGCAGAGTAGTACTGCCAGGAAGAGAAAAGAGGAGAGAAAGAACCAACCCTTAAAGTGAGAGGGGTACTCTGTGTCCCCGAGGCTGGCCATCTCTCACCCCTGCCCTCGGGAGGCATTCTGGCAGGTGGTGCAGGAGAGACCGACATGGAATTCTGCAGAGAAGACTTACATATTCCATAGGGAAGACTTACATATTCCATAGGGAAGAACGAAATAAAACCGAGGGAAGCACAGACCCTCCCCGAAGGCTACTTATTAGCAAAAGCCAGTCTTCTCAAGACGAAGGTGGGCAGGACAGAAACCTTTTCCAGAGTTAAAACTTGCCCATTTAGTATTAAACAAGGTCGAACCTCTTCCAACACTCCATTAGAACCCTGTGATCACCTACATCTCCGAAAATTTCCACCCTTGTCTGAAACTCATTGCCATCACCACCTCTGGTCTTGGGAACTACTGGGAAGCAGTTATATTTCACTGTATTTTGCCCCAAAGACTCAGAGGCTGGGGTGTTAAATGAGAGAAGATCAAAAGGAGAATCCATGACGGGAAAGTAGGTAAGGACCCTCACACTGGGAAGGTGGGGTGTCTTGGGTGAACACGCCATTGCTCTGTGAGCGAAGAGTCCCCGAGGTTTGCCTGCCCCAGTGCCTCCGGCCACCACCCTCTCACCTTCATCATCAGCACGATGGTGTTCAAGGCGATCATGGCCATGATGGTGTACTCAAACGATGGAGACACCACGAAGTGCCAGACGCGGTACTGGAAGGTGTGCCTGTTCTGCGGCATGTAGCGGGTGAGCGGCTTGGCGCTGATGGCGAAGTCGATACACGCCCTCTGCAGGGAAGTCGTGATTGGTTATTGGCCCAAGCCCCAATCCCCCAAGCCTTGCACATTCGTGGCTCTGTTAGGTGGTTAGAAGAGGACAGCGTATAAAACGTAGGGTGGCACAAGATGTAAAAATGGCAAGAGGGATTGTCTGGACAACACAGAGGACAGCATATAAAACGTAGGGTGGCACAAGCAGATGTAAAAATGGCAAGAGGGATTGTCTGGACAACACTGTAGGTGACGTGTCACCTTAAATGAATACATAGAACTGTGGGCCCTGTCACATGGGGTAAGGACTTACTGGTTATTAATAATGTCCGTTTCACATGGCGTGTGGCGAAGATGTTTAGGCAGGAAGCCTTATCTGATGCCCTCAGTCAGAAGGCAAAATCTCTCTATGCGTTCCTATAGCACTTGATGCACTTCTCTTATAGTCCCAGTTTCTAGTTCAGTTCCATTATAAAAACAACGAACCCTACAATCTACCAGAACTATGCTTGTTACTAGAAAAGCAGTTGTAAATGAGCCATATCCCCTTCCTTTATAGCAAACATGTGTCGCAGAGCAGCACAGCCAGGTGACCAGGTGTCTTAATCACCCCCCACCATATACCACACTTCTGGACTCTGCACTGCATCTATAGGCCTTCCACAGAGCGGATGCTCAAAAAAAGTTTACTTAATGACCGAGTAATTTCCCCCACCTTCTCCCTATAGATATTAAGTTAAGGAAACTGCCTTCCTTCCCAACACTGCTGGTCTGAGTCCCTTTCTGGTGCCCTGCCTGCCCACGGTGCAGACCACCTGACCTACCTCGTTCTTCTCCAGGCTGCACTCCTCCATCATCTTGTCCCCTTGCTCCTGGAAGGTGATGATGATGAGAGCCACGAAGATGTTGACAAAGAAGAAAGGGAAGACCACAAAGTAGACCACGTAAAAGATGGACATCTCCATGCGGTTGCTGCGGCTCGGGCCTCGGTCTTCCTCCGTCACATCGACAGAATGCTGCAAAACCCTGTGGGGACAGGATGAGGGGGCACAGATGGCGGATGGCCGTCTCGGCCGCTGCTCTGACTCAAGGCTTCAGTAGGAGATATGCCACCTGTTATATTTTCTTGTCTGGCCCCCTTGACTGTGCAGAACCTCCATTAATATATTTGGGGTCCATAATAACCAAGTTGGTGGGGATTCAGTGACCCTCAACCCACTGCTTTTCTAGCCCGCTCCATCAGGCATCTAACTTCTAAGCAACAGAGTGCCATTATTTGATAGTTTAGGTCAGTGGTCGGCAAACTGCAGCTGGCGAGCCACATGCGGCTCTGTGGCCCCTTCAGTGTGGCTCTTCCACAAAATACCATGTGCGGTCACGCATGTACAGTGCGATTGAAACTTCGTGGCCCATGTGCAGAAGTCGGTATTTTGTGGAAGAGCCACACTCAAGGGGCCAAAGAGCCACATGTGGCTCGAGAGCCACAGTTTGCTGACCACAGGTTTAGGTTGTCATATTCAATACCAAGAGACTCCTGGATTTCCACTTGGCATTTTGCTGCCAACTAGAGCATGCTGCCTCCAGAAAGGGGCGTCTTAGTGATTGCCAAGTCTCTGAGAAGCTACTGCACAGCTATGGGTAGCATAAAAACTACATTCTTCCCTGGCTGGTGTGGCTCAGTTGGTTGGGCATCAATCCATGCACTAAAAAGTTGCCTGTTCAATTCCTGGTCATGGCACATACCTGGGTTGTGGACTGGACCCCTGGTAGGGGGGCATGTAGGAGGCAGACAATTGATGTTTCACTCACATCTGCATTTCTCTCTCTCTCTCCCTCTCCCTTCCTCTCTTAAAAAAAATAAAAAAATCTTTTGGAAAAAAAGAAACGACATTGTTGTCTTCTTTAGAAGAGGTGTGATCACAGAAAGTGTCTCTGGGTTCTGCCAGCTCATCCCTAACCCTCAATCCTCAGGTGTTGGGTGAGCTTGGAGGAGAAATCTGTTTAAAACAACTTCCAGGGACTCTTGTAAGGGATAGAAAGCTGTTCAAAACTTACTTGTTCTACAGGAGTACAATGGGTTCACTCAACTCCTCAATACTTGGCTAAAACATTAAGAGTTTCAAATATTTCCCAGACGTTGTCATCTCCCTCTTGATTTTTGCCTTAAGGATTCCCATTCTTCCTCTCTCCTGCCTCTCTCACCCACTCAGAGCCACTTACTCTCCCTGGTATAATAACTAAGGGTTACCCTGGTTCATCTTGAATCGGCTTCTCAAAGGCAACCACATGGTCCCACCCCAGCTCACAGACAAGCAAGCTCGTCACTCACTGAGGCCATCCTTCCCCTGTGGAGACGGTGAAGAGGGTCAGCAGAGCCCAGATGATGTTGTCGTAGTGGAATTCATGGCGCTTCCATTCCCGACCTTTCACCTCCATCTTGTTCTTCTCGTGATCTACATAGTTGCCTCTAAAACCAGTGCAGAAATGAAATAGAGCCCCTTCACTATAGCTCATAGGGAGTCAGGGAATTCTATGGACTTCAATGATGCAGGGTAACTGATTAGTGTACAGATGCAATGAAAAAGGAATTTTATTCAAGGCAGTGTATCACTGTGGAATAAAAATGGGATTTGGTGCCCAACAGACATAGAAGATTGACTCCTAATCCTTTCAGTAACTTAAACTTTCAGAGCCGCAGCTCCACATCTAGAAGATGCAAATAAAACCTATCTCAAAAGGTGGTTATAAAGATTTAAG